TCTGTCACCATGGGGTCCCGGTCATGCCCTCTTCAGAGCACGGGGTCCCTGTCACGTCCAGATACCTCCCACTACCCGGGCTGTTCTGGACCTTCGGAAAATGGCCCCGAGTCCCACCTGGAAAGGGCAGCAGAGGCAGAAGCAGAGGACAGGGCTAACAGCACAGTTGGAGTAGGCTGGCAGGGTGCACAGGCTGGAGGTCACAAAAGTCAGTGGTGTGGCTGGCAGGTGGCTGTAGTTGGGGGTTTCCGTGGTCCACCCAGCTCCACAGTCCAGACAAATCTCTCTCACCCGTGGTCCTGCAGCTGCTTGTGAAGTAATTACTCAGAGGCTTATATTACTTGTATGGCCTATGGCTCAGGCTTCTCGCTAGCCAGCTCTTATAACTTAACCCATTTCTATTCATCTGTAAGTTGCCACGGGCTGTGGCATTACCGGTCTGCTGGCATCTTGCTGTTCCTTAGGCGGGGTGGCTGGTGTCTCTCTCGCCTCTGCCTGTCTTCTTCCTGTCTCTCTCCTTGGATTTCCCGCCTGCCTCTAAGCTGCCTTGCCATAGGCCAAAGCAGCTTACTTACCAACCAATCAGAGCAACACATAGTCACAACATGCAGAAAGACATCCCACAGCAGGTGGCCCACAGCAGCCACATAGCCCACTGCAGAGCAGGGTCCCCACAGCAGCCAAAGACCACCAGCACCACAAGGGTGAGCTGGGTGTTTGCCCTGTTCTCCGGTACACTCTACCCCCAGGGGACCCAGGGGCTGTGTGCACAGACACCAGCCCACATGGCCAAAAGAGCAGCCCCAGCCCAGCAGGCAGGGTAGAAAGGCCAGGGCTCCCAGCAATGTAGCGTAGCAGGTTAGTTGAGGTGGGCTGAGCAACAGGAGGTAGACCAGGGCCTCGGGGCACCTGCCACCTGCTCTAATACTGTCACCCACCAGAACACCCAGTTGGGTAGCGCGGTAGCCAAACCCAGTACCCATATAACCCCACAGAGCATCGGTCAGGCTCCTGGGGTGGCTGGGAGAGCCATATGGACCAGACCACGGCCACTTGACGTACAAGTTCAGTGGCCACCATGCTGCAGGAAGTGCAGACCTTGGTGGTTGTGTTGGCAGCCTGGCCGGTGGTGCAGATGGCAGGGCCCAGCCTCCAGCCCCAGTGCAAGAAGCTCAGCAGCCAGGCAGGTACCACGAAGGATAAGAAGAGCAGGTTGGACCGTGCCACGTTCACCCTAAGGCTGGTGGTCACGCCAAGAGCGGGCGGGAAGCTCGAGGACCACGGGCCACCACTAGCAGTAGGAGCCCATTGGCCAGCAGCCCCACGAGCAGGAGGCCACAGAAGCCTGAGAAGGCCAGGTGGAGGGTGGCCTCTCCTGGGTGACTGCCCACCCTGTGTAGAGAGTGGCATTCGTCTCCATAGTGGTGAATTCTGTAGATAATGGTATTTCTGCTTTAGGAAGGAAAGCTCCAAGTTTTTCTGGTTGTATTGTCTATGAAAGTCCTCGTGGAAATCATGGAGCGGGTTGCCAGGGACTTGAGGCTTGTTAGGGGCTGATCAGGCCAGACTCCATGAGTGGACTCAGAGCTGCCGGCAAGCATCCTTGCTAGAGCCTGCCTGTGACTCGGTGACAGGACAGGCTCCGGAACCCCAGACCCCAGACTCCAGACCAGACACTGCTCGGGTCATGCCCATCTGCAGTCTCCCGTCTTCGGTCCACGAGGTGGATCCCAGGCTCCCTGCTGCGCCAGGGAGGGATACGCCCACTGAAGCGCCTATGAGTGTGTCTTCACTTCCCACACCCTCAGTCAGGCATTCCTATCCCAGAATTCCCTCTACTCCTGCCCCTCAGGCATCAGACAGCTGGACTACACAAAGCACCTACCCCCGCTTTCCTCTGAGACCTGTATGAGGAGATCCCCACTCTGCCTGGTGGAGCTACTGAACTCAGAACACCTGCCATGCTGTCTGTCTGTCTGTCATCTGTCTGTTCACGGCATTAATAACTCTTAACAAACGTCTTCCCCCAAAGGACAATCTGTCCCAGTGTCTCCCTTGAACCCTAAACCAGAGAGGTTTCAATGACAACTTAAAAGGTTGGGGGTAGGCATGCAAGACAGTGATCTTCCCTGTTGTGCAATGAAGCCCTGGAATTAAAGAGAGAGAGAGAGAGGTAGGACTGGGGGGTTGGCTCAGTGGTGAAGAGCATGTCCTGCTCTTCCAGAGGACCCGAGTTCAGTTCCCAACACCCACATCAGGTGTCACAACCATCTGTAACTCCGGCTCCCGAGGACCTGATGCTTCTTCTGGTCCCTGCAGGCACTGCACATATGCCCACACCAACACACATGCATATACATAATAAAATAAACCTGAGTTTGGGGGGGTAGCACATGCAAGCTTAGAGACGGTCTCAGGAAGGCCCAGAGGCTGCGCCCCGCCCCCCATGTCCTTGCACATAGGCCCTCTCACAGGCCTTGGCCACGATGGCTGACTCGGCTCTTTGCCATTTTCAGACCTCAGGGATATCAGCCCAACAGCGTATCTGCCTGCATTGCCTGGGTTCCAATCCTGCCTCTGCCACTTAGGAACTGGGGAACAAGAGAAAGTTCCACAGTGTTCCTTGGCCTCGGTGTCCTCAGCTGTAAGGACAGAAGAAATAAATCAGGGGCCAACAGTAACTGTCCCTGTGCTGGGCCAGGGCAGCTCTCTTGCAGGGGAGTGACACAAAGCTGCAATGTATCTGCTTCCTCACACCCTGAGTGCACAGGCTGAGAATGTGGCCTGTGTGTGTGTGTGTGTGTGTGTGTGTGTGTGTGTGTGTGTGAAGGACCCATCTCTGCTCTGAGTATCCACATCTTTCTGTAAGAAATTCTGAATCACCAGTCTTCAGCCTGTGGGTGCTGGAGCCCAGCTTCAAGACCCTGCTTCAGGGCCATGGGTGTGGCTCCATTGGTAGAGTGCTCCCTTAGTATGCACAAACGATGCCTTGAGTGTTATCCCTGGGCCACATAAACCAGGCGTGGAATGGGGGTGTAGTTCTTGCCTGTTATCCCAGCACTGGAGGGTGGAGGCAGGAGGATCTGAAGTTCAAGGTCATCCTTGGCTATTGTAGTCAGTTGAAGATTAGCTAGGACTTATGACACCCTGTCTCGAAGAGGAGGAGAGGAGAGAGAGGGGAGGGGAAGAGGGGAGGGAGGTTGGAATCCCCAGCACCCAGGTAAAAAAACAGATTATGGCTGCCTGCACCGCAACCCCAGTGTTGGAGGGTGGACACAGGCAGATCCCGAGAGCCAAGTGGCCAGCAGAGCTGAAATGGGAAGCATTTTCAGTGACCAACTCTCAGGTCAGAAAGGTGGCGAGTGGCCGAGGAAGACACCCAATGTCTGGCTCTGGCCATTGCATGCCCGGAAATGGGCACAAACACCCGAACACTCACGGGTGTGCACCACACACACACACACACACACACACACACACACACACACACACACAGAGGAAGGGAAAGAAGAGAGAAACATCAAACCAAGGCCCAGTGGCAGTGCAGGTTTACAGGTACCCAGGAGGCTGAGGCAGGGGGATCACAAGTTTAAGCCTGGACTGCAGAGTTAGTTCAAAGCCAGTATGGGCAGCTTAGGGAGACCCTGCCCTAAAATAAAAAGAAGAGAAACTGGTGAGAGGACTCAGTTTGCCGCCACGGTGCTTGCTGCCAAGTCAGAAGACCCGAGTTTGACCCCTGAGACCCACACTGTGGAAAGATGACTCCAGAACGTTGCCCTCTGGCTTCTATACCTGCGCCCCCCCCAACACAAACATACACACAAATAGTAAGTGTCATTATTAGAGTTTCTCAGGTAACAAGAGCGCTAGGGTGTGGCTGACTGCAGAGCCCTTGCCTAGCATGCCTGACGCCCTCAGTTTAATCCCCAGAACCACAAAGAAAATCAAATAAGTCTGGGCTTTTCTGCAGCATTTGGGAGTAGTGTTGTTTGTTTTTCGGTTCTTTTGCGGGGGGGGGGGGGGGGGTCCACCACCCCAGCTCCTAAATAAATCATACACAGAGGCTTATTATTACTTAAGAATGCCCAGCCTTAGCTTGGCTTCTTTCTAGCCAGCTTTTCTTATATTAACCCATTTATCTTTTGCCTCTGAGCTTTTCCTGTTCTCTTACTTCTGTAAATCTTACTCTTACTCCGTGGTTTGCCGGTTGCGTAGCTGGGTGGCTGGCCCCTGGAGTCCTCCTCCTCCTCTGGCTGGTAGATCTCCAATCCCTCTTCCCAGATTTCTTCTATTTACCCTCTCTGCCTGCCAGCCCCGCCTATCCTTTCTCCTGCCTTGCTATTGGCCAGTTCTTCATTAGACCATCAGGTGTTTTAGACAGGCACAGTAACACAGCTTCACAGAGTTAAACAAATGCAACATAAACAAAAGTAACACAGCTTAAAATTATATTCTACTACAGTCCTGGCCGCATAGCAAGACCTGTGTCAACGACAGCAAAAACCGAGATTGGGGACGTGACTCAGGTGGGTAGAGTGCTCGACTCGGTAGCACAGTCTTGGTTCCATCTCCAGCGCCACATAAACCAGGTTTGTGACACACTCACGAGGTGAAGGGAGGATCAGAAGTTAAGGGTCATCCTCGGCTCCATAGAGAGTTCATGGCCAGCCTGGACTACATGAGACCCCGTTTCAAAACAACAGCAGAGGAAGTAACAATAAAATCCACCCAGCCCATCTCACGGGGCCGCTGTGATACAAGGACTGTGTGGTTTCATGAGGTCAGTTCTCAGGATGGCATCTGTCACGCAGGTCCCGAGTAAATAATGATGGTTTGTCCCTGCTCACCTCAGTTTGCAAGGTCTTTTCTCTGATGGCCCAGGCAAGCCTCTGTTCTATTCCCCTCCCCCGTTCCCAGTCCACACTCCTCACCCAGCAGCCTGGTCCCCCTAGCCTTTCCTTTAATCAATCTCAAATCAACTCACAGCCAGATCGCGCCCCCCCCCCCCCCCCCCCCAGGCTGCTGTACTCTGAGAAATGAACACCTGCAGTGTGAACCTCCGGCAGTTCCCTCTGAGGTCTACCTTGAGTCCTGCTGCTATGATTTGCCCACTGGGGCTCCAGGTATCTGCTTGCTGACTGTCCAGAAGGGCTCACTCCCCAATACAGCTGGGCTCTGTGGCACGTGGTGGACCCAGCATGCCGAGTTAAGTTTCTGAAAGGTGTCTCTTCCCCCGAACCACACCTTGAGGGAAACTGAGCTGGCTGCCTGGAGGCTGCTCTTCCTCATCCCCCACCCCAGACAAAGTGGCTGGCTGCTCGCCTGGTTCCAAGGAGTCATGTTCTGCTACTGGCCTCATTAGCTTCCTGGACCACAGAATGACGGTGTCCGGGCCTGCCAAGCTGGACCCCAGAGATAGCATTGGCATGGCAGGACCTGCCCCTCCCACTGTGAGTGCCTTTGCCTGGAACTGCTGGAGAAGGGGGAGAGTCTGGAAGAAGGCCGTGAGGTAAGGGAGAGCCTGTGAGGAGCTTGGGAGAAAACAAGCCTGGTGGCTGGGGTCATTGCATCCAGGCTTCAGGGGAATAGGTATCGAAGGGCATCTAACCCCATCCTTGGTGGCATCGGATGCCAGAACCTTCTGAACCTGACCGGGTATCACCGCTGCCCTGTGTGCTAGCTCCTTGCCTCTGGTGCTTCCCTAAACAGCCAAAAAGAGGTGCCAGCTTGCAGCATGGGGACCGTGGCTAACAGATGAGAACGAAGCAATGCCCCTGCCTCTTGCTAAGACTCCCCGGCACCTCCACTCTCCATTTGTTTATTCCCAATGGTTCTGCACAACACTGGGGCTTCCTCAAGTTCAACACCACCCTGTCTCTAAAAAGGCGCAAAGCATCAACCCCCGGTTCCCGTGGACTCTCTATTCAGTGCTGAGATAACCGCTCAGCTGGGCAGAGATGTCGCAACTCAGAGGCCATCCCTGACCCCACCCCCTCACCCCCAGACCCTGGAACCAGCTTCCCACCAGGTTTCCGTGCTGCAGTCCAGGCCCCACCAGTCACAGGCATCCAGTGCCTACTACTGAGGACCCTGAGCTCCAGGGCAGGAAGCAGGATCCTGGTACAACCCTCCATAGGAGTGCCAGAGGGCTCAGGGCATATCAGGGCCACCAGAATGTCACTGCTCTCAGGATCGGATTCTGCCAGGAAGAAATCCACATCTGATTGGGGAAACTGAGGCAGACACAGGCATAGTGGGAACTGACAGGCTGTGTGGATTCAGAGTTGACACCAAACAGACTCTCTGCAAGGTTTATTTCCTCCTCTATGTCTGATGCCCCGATTGGACAAGGCATCCCTAGGCACTGAAGAAAATCCAAAAATACTCAAAAGGAAAAATAGCACCCCCACATGTGTCCTGTGCCCTGGTTAGTTTTTATTATCAACTTAACACAATCTAGAGTCACCAGGAAAGAGGGAAACCTACATGAAGATGGCCTTTACCAGACTGGCCCGTGGTGGGCATGTCTGTGGGGGCACTGTTCTGCTTGAAGATTGATTCGGGAGAGCTCTGTCCACTGTGGGTGGCGCCATCCCTAGGCAGGTGGGCCTGGGCTAATAAAAGCCAGCTAAGCATTAGGAGGTGTGTGAGCCAGCAAACAGCATTCCTCCATGGTTCCCACTCCAGTTCCTGGAAGTGTAAGCTGAAAGACCCCCTTTTCTCCTCTGAGCTGCTTTTGGTAGTATTTATCACAGCAGAAATTAAACTAGAATATCCCGACATCTTGCCACCTGGGGTGAACAAAAGATTTAGGGATATTTTCCCTGGGTGAGGTGTCCAGACTGTCCTGCCATCCACCCCGGCCATGTTTGCTCAGGGGAGCAGAGGTGACCCTGTCTCCTGCAGGGCTTCTCTGTCACAGCCGTGTCCAGGAATCAGAATAGAAGCCATGGGAAGGGGCGGTCCGTGACGGGACCAGACCAGCGATCAGCGGCAGCAGCCAGCTCTCTTGGGTGGCTGCTGGTGGGCCACTTCCACCATCGAGGCCTTCAGGCGGTCTTCCTGCATCTTAAGTGACCTGTATGGCAATGTCCCCGAGTCACTCCTCTCTCTCCAGGAGCAGCAGCGTGAAGGACTGTGGGGTAGCTGGGGTTCAGGGCTCCACCCTTTGTTCTCTCCGCTCATGGCAGTGGAAAGATGGGGCTGGGGGATTGTGACCTTCCGTCTCTTTTCCTGGCCCACTGGGTGCCAAGCAACACACACACACACACACACACACACACACACACACACACACACACACACACACACACGAATGAGCAACTCCAACAGGAGTAAAGAAGTCATATTCCAGGGCTTTGAGCCTGAACTGACACATAGACCATGGATGGACACTCTGTACCACAAGAGGGAGGTGCATTCCCTTGGAATCCCAGACTCAAGGTCAAGAGCCAACCCGGAGCTGGGAAAGTACAAGAGATTATCTCCTGTAGGCACCACACGTCTGCCCACGTGCCAGGGACGCTGGTGGACTCAGATGCCCTTCCCGGCACCCATCTCAGCCATTCACTGAGCCCACAGTGGGTGCAAGGCCCCATATAAAAAGGGTTGGAGAGACAGATGGACTCCTCCCAGACAGCAAGAAGAAAACAGATCTAAAAACAGTCCATGCCGGGCGGTGGTGGCGCACGCCTTTAATCCCAGCACTCGGGAGGCAGAGGCAGGCGGATCTCTGTGAGTTCGAGGCCAGCCTGGACTACCAAGTGAGTTCCAGGAAAGGCGCAAAGCTACACAGAGAAACCCTGTCTCAAAAAACCGGAAAAAAAAAAAAAAAAGCAGTCCAGAAGGGCACGGGCCCGAGACGGGGACACAGGGAAAGCAGCAGAATGTCACGAGAGACAGAGACAGAGAAGTAGGAGGTAGGGACAGAGGGGATGGCTCCACAGGGCAGGACGGCAGGGGAGACAGTGCGGGCTATCGGGGGCATTTGGCATTCACTCTAAGTCATGAGGTCACCAGAAGGCCCGGACAGGAACCTTACAGAGGAGAAGGGAGGTGAGAGGGTGTGAACAGCTGTGAGGACAGAACATGGGGTCTGTAACCAGGGCCTTCCTTGGCCACTTCCTGGAGAGGGCCGAGCAGGGCAGGGCTGCCCTGGAGCACTCTGGGTATGGGAAGCACTCACCGAGCCAGGTTCATCAGGGGCTCCAGGATGTTGTGACCCAGGGCCGCGCTGCACTCACCAAAGGAGACCCCCAGCTCCTGCAACCACACCGAGTGGCTGAGAGGCCAGGTCCAGCCCTGCCAGCCCCTCGCCAGCCACCCTCGGTCCCCACCTGGACCTCTGCCCACCACCCACCCCTCTGCTGGCTACAGGACACAGGGGGCCATCCTGGAGTCTTCCCCCAGACTTGGAGTAGAAGACGGATTTACTGCTTGACCTGGAGAAACACATGTGCCTTTTTTTTTTCTTTTTTAATGCTCAGGGTTTTGTATGTTTTTCTAAAATACTCCTGGGCCAGGGCTGTACCGCCGACAAGGCCCTGGGTTCAATTGTCAACAACACAAAAACCATTAAGAGCCAGGCATGGTGGTAAATGCCTATAACCTAGCACTCGGGAGCTGAAGGCAGGAGGGCCAGGAATTCAAGGTCAGCCTCTGCTATGTACAAGTTAGAGGCTAGCCTGGGCTACATGAGACCTTGTCTGAAAAGCCAAACGAAGAGGCTAGGGAGATGGCTAACAGGTAAAGGCATGCCAACCAGGAGTCGGTTTCCTACTTCTAACACGTGCATCCGGGGATCAAACTCAGGTCATCAGGCTTGGTGGAAAGCATCTCTATCACTGGGCCATTTTGTTGGCCGAAGGACGGGATTCTTTTTTTCTTTTCTTTCCTCCTCCCCCTCCCCTTCCCCCTCTTCCTCTTTTATGACCCAATGTCACTAATTTATCTTGAGTCCTTGGGTTTCAGTCATCCTATAGTCAAGGGATTTTGCTGACTTGAAGCTGGAGAGCAGGTTGAGGGGCCATTGGGACGCCACAGGGACACCACAGGGTTCCAGTGGAGAGGGGCTGCTGGGACACCACATCCAGGTTCCAGGTTCTGAGCAGAACCATTCCAGGGAAAACCCCATCGGCTTTGACGGGAGCCTCAGAGAGACATTCAGAATTCTCTCTCTGACCCCACAGGGCACCTATCCCCCAGCACAGGATCGTTCATGGTAAACACTGGCCTCTCCCATGAACCTCCAATGTGTAACTGCCAAGCTCTGCCAACTGTCCTTCCTAAACAATACTGGGAGAGGGGTCTCGGCGTCTGGCGTCTGAGTGGATGTCCTAGGAGGGAGTTAACTGTGTATCCTCTAAGGACTGCCAATTCTCAGTCCTCTAGCAGCATAAATTCTCCAAGAAGGAACCCTTAAAGAGACAGACGGCTATTTTAGAGAGGGGATGATCTGCCAACCTGGAGCCACAGTGGCGAAGGGCGGGACCCGGATTGACTCTCTCCCTAGGTTTTAAATTTTTTAAAAATTATTCATACACATATACGCATAAATATATATGTCTTTTCTAGAATGTGGTTAAATCTCATTTATAAATAATAGTATCCCCCGTCTGGCGACAAAGCTTTTGATGTTGTCTTCCCAAGGAAAACATTGGAGTCTTAAAATAGAATAAATGAGAAGGGAGTATGTTAATTAGAGACCAGAGATAAAATTAAGATTTGATTGGGGATTTCAGTGACGCTTTTAAAAATGCTTTCACTCTGAAGATGTTTTTCACGTGGGTTGGGAATGTGTGGGAATCTGCTAATTCTACGCAGTGTTCAAGGTGGCGCCCGCCGCTGGCACAGCCTGGGTTTGAGCCCAGGGCCGATCGGCAGCAGTCGAGTGGTCAGCCATTACAGGGGGGCAGGGAGCCCCGTTCCCCAGGTGCCAAGCAGAGATGTCCCGGTACTCACCTGGGCCAGTCCTCTCCCAGCTTCAGTGGGCACCTGCCTCTCCTCCTCACAGTCCATCTTGTTTCCCAGCAGGACCATGGCCACCCCATCTGCACCTGCATCCTGCACACAGGACATTTGCCCTCAGCTGCCCTCAATGGATGCCAGACCCAAGATAGAAGCTTCTAGAAGTTTCTAGAAGCTATCAGTCATTCTCTCACCTGGACCCTCTCTTCTCCTTTCTGCTTACAAGACACTTTGCTTACTTTCATGGCTAACCCTATGGGCACCTCCCCCTGGAAGTCTTTCTGGGTTGTTCCTGCCCACTCTTCCTAACTGTGTGCCTCTGCCTAGGCTGCCTTGACACTTGTCTCGGGTTGCTTTTTTTTCTTTTTTCTTTTTCTTTATGTGTGTGTGTGTGTGTGTGTGTGTGTGTGTGTGTGTGCACGCAAGTGCATCATGTGTGTGTAAGGTGACACAGAGGCCAGAAGATGGTGTCAGATTCCTTGGAGCTGGAGTTACTGACAGTTGTGAGAAACATGAAGTGGGGAGCCGACTGCCTATGCTCTGGAAGAGAGGCAGGAACACTCAACCACTGAGCCCCCTGGGTGTTTCTCAAATTATCAGCATCGTTATAGTTTCTGGCTGCTGACTGCTCTCTTCAGGCGCCGGAAGCGGTTGTGTGAGTAAATCTTCCCAGCTCCCCATGAGAGAAACGGAAGTTCAGGGAGGTAAAGCCACAGGGCCAAAGTCCCAGAGCAGGGGCTGAGGTAGACAGACCCAGACTCCTCCCTCATGGATCGCCTTATCTCGCTTTTTAAAAAAATCTCTTCTATTACACTAGAAACTTCTAGAGAGAGGCCCAACATACTTCACTTGGTCCTAATTTAGCCTCATGTTGGACTCGTGCCCTATGGAATCCCGGCATAGAGATCAGTTATGTGGGACATGGAGCTCGACGTCACCAGCGGGACTTCCCACCTAGGAGACATCCCAAGCGGACATGCTACTTGTCTACAAGAGCTGCTCTCAGGATGCATCACGAGCAGTTCGCTTTGGGGGCTGTACTGTGTGGCTGTGCTTTCTCTGCGCTCCAGGGCTCCTAGATCGTCCACCCACGCGTCCCTGGGCGGATGGTGTCACTCTTATGACTACTGCGTCATTTGTCACGCGGGGAGAAAGGAGAAGGTGTGGGGGTGGATTCCAAGCTTCCTCTTGACTGCAAAACCGGGGGCCAGACTGCAGCCCCAAATACACTCACCTGCAGACACTGGAGCCAGTACCGCACGTGGGTGAAGCTCTCTCGGGAGGTGACGTCATACATGAGCACCACCCCCTCCGCCTTGCGAAGCAGCTGTCGTGTGAGGCTGTGGTACCTGCCCAAAGGGTCTGCGTGAGGCCACCACACCCGGAGCCTGGGCACTCCCCCATCGCCCTAGGGGTGGATTTGATGTGTTTGGGGTCATTTAGGTCATCTCCCGTGTTTTGTAACATCTGTAATGAAGGCTTGAGCAGTCAGCTCTCTGCTTTATGCGTGAGTTTATCTCTAGAACAAGATTCCAGAAATGGATTGCAGAGTCGAACCTATGTGCCTTTTAAGTTTCCCTGACTGTGGTCCATGTGTTAGATGGAAGGCCCCGCTGTCTAGAAGGTTGGTCAGGGGAGAATCGACCATCATCCCCCTGAGGGCAGTGCAGAGTGGGGGCACCTGAGCTCACGGTCCCTTTGTCCTGATTCCCTGAGTCTTGGATCTCAGGGCCTCATTGCTTCTACAATGGGTAGACCTTGTCCCCTGTCACCCAGGTTGTGGGCGACCCTTTCCTCCCACACTCTGAGCACGGCCCCAGTCCCTGACCACTGGCTGGGACCGTCGAATACCTCTCTTGTCCAGCTGTGTCCCACAGCTGCAGCGCAAAGATTTTGTTGTCTACCACCAGGGTTTTGGTGCGAAAATCCACTCCTAGGACACACAGAGAAGGACGAGAGGGCTTTTACTCTCCATGCAGGACAGCCCGCCCCAGATGCCACAAGTGTGTGCCCGCTCCCAACCCCAGCCATGGAAGGATGGAGCCACAGCTGGGCTCCTCTCCGCTCTCCAAAGGTCCCCACGACCAAGTGTCACACCTCCAAGCAGCCTTCCCAAGGTGGAGAAAGGACTCATGGGGTCACACTGTGTGTTCTGGGACTCTGGGGCTTTGGGGTGAGTCACCTTCTGCCTTGGAGTCTCCCTTTCTCACCAGCAAGGCGGTATTTTAAAGACCCACGATGGCTGGAGTGGGGGGTGAAATGGCCTGTGGGCTAAAGGCTCCGCAGGGTTTCTGACTGCAGTCTTCATCCCTCCACAGGCTGAGTCCCACAGCCCTACCCCACCTGGAGTCACAGCTTCAGGCCTGTTAGACCCTGGGACAGGGAGCTGATAATGAGAGTCTGTGCCCTTCCAGCCATTCCCCACCTGTCAAAGAGGCCCTCTGGATGTGGGAGAGGCAAAAACTGGGGGAAAGGGGGAGAGATGGCTCAGCGGTTAGGTCCTTACTGCTGTTACAGAGGACCTGGGTTCAGGCCCCGGCACCCACCTTAGGCTGCTCACAAGCGCCTGTAACCCAAGTTCTAGGGTATTGAACACCCTTTCTAGCCTCCACAGGTACCTGCACAGAGATGTGCATATCCACATACAGACACTCAAAAATAATGAAATAAATTAAAAAGAATGGGAGGGGGTGCTCTGTCCCTGTCCCGAACCCCTTGCCTGCAGAACCCACTGCAGCCTGGCAGCTCCCGACACCCACAATCTAGGTGAGAGGTTTCTGTGGTGACCCCTGCAAGTACATGTTGCTGCCCCCTGGTGGTGGTTCACACAGCCCGCTGGTCTCCTCCAAGAAGACCGACCCTGCCCAGGAGCAAGGCCGCTCCTGAGCAGCAAGTGATTTTCTCTACCGCCCCTTCCTGAGACTCTTAGGAGCCCAGGACTGGAGCATCCTGAGACTGTCACATTCAGCTGCACACCCACCAGTCCACTCACCAACGGCTCTCAGCCATTCCTGCCCCTCCCCCACTGGTTTCTGCCCCCTCGCAGCTCATCCTGTGTGCCCCAAAACTCTGTTCAGCTAAGCCACACAAACCATCAGATATGCAAGTCTGGTCTTTGTTGGGCACTACTGGTTCAAGGGGGCAGCAGCCCACATACCTGCAACCATCAGGGGCAGAACCAGGCACACGGGTCAAGCCTTCCCAGGTAGGGCCTACACTTTGAAAGTGGGGGGCCCTGAGCTTGAACCTTGGGACCAAGTGAGGGCAAGAAACCTAACCAGGACTCGGTTCTCTGCCACAAGTAGGGACCAAATTGAGAGTCACAGATAGAGATCTGTATCTCCACCCACTGCCCTCAAAGGCACTGGGCAAGAGTTCTGACATTTTGAGAGAGGCTGGGGGGGGGGGCACCTGGCTGGCTATGGGTACAAGCCTGCTCTGAGTCTGTGCAGTCGGATTATGTGGAACTGGCACAGATGGGGTGTCGTGGGGCTGGGGAGTTGGCTCAGGGCTTCAGCACTTGCCATGCAAGCCTGAAAGACAGGGGATCAGATACCCAGAAACCCACATAAACACTGTGTGGGCATGGCAGCCTGCCTGCCATCCCAATCTCAGAAGTCAGAGATGGGACTCCCCGGAGCAAGCTGGCTAGTGAGACCAGCCATGTTGGTGAGCTCTGGGTTTAATTGAGATACTCTGCCTCAATGAATAAGGTGGAAGAGCGACAAAGGACGTTTCCCAAAATCAGACTTATGCCTCCACATGCACGTATGTGCTGCAGGCCGCAGGAATATATCATAAGAACTCAGCTGGTTATGGCAAAGTCACTACCTAGAGGAATCAGGGAATTCCTCCAGAGGAAGCCAAATCCCAAGGAGTTTTTGGTGTTACTTGGCTTGCTATATATCAGCTGTCTTCTGTTATGAAAATCATGTGTGCCTTCATAGTTTTCCCAATTGACTTTTCCCTAAGAAGGGCTAACAGTGTGGACTGATCACTCTCTGGACATACACATTCCAGGTATTTGGAGAACAGCCTCAGGAAAGGCTTTCTCTGGAATCAGGTATCTCCCTTGGCCACTTTCAAGGACCAGCAGTAATAACAGTCCACATGCAAGTCTCCTGATTTAAGGTAAATTCCACAAGGAGACACCACCTAAGTCAGGTGGACGTTAAGTAATAGCTTTACACAATTCATCTCAGACCCTCCTTTCTTACAGCCTTACTAACTTTATAGACTGCTAACTCCTTACCTAACCACTTCTAGGAATATTTAGATAACCTTCTGTGCTGACAGCTATGCTCAGCCAGAACCCCAGTTCAAGCCTCCTTGTAATTATCATCATTGGCAACATCCGGCCAGGTCCATCCCCAGATGGAGGAAAGTACCTTATCAGAGATACCTCCATACTTTCTGAGAACAGACTTAAGCATCCAGGCTACCCATTTGAGAAGGCCTGGTGGATGTGCCAATTAAACTTTACTTCCTGCTTTCCCAAACCTTACCTCTAGTTCCAGATCTCCCTTTAACTATCACCAAAAGCATCTAGCTGTACACAGGTTGCCTAGCGACTGAGCACACTTTCCCCCACCCTGCAGAAAAAACAGCAGATAGCTTGGACAGATAGAAGCCACAGGAAAAAAGAAGGCAGTTTTATTTTCTCCCATTGACCTACCAACTTACAGATTCTTAACGTTTTCTACTAATCACGTTTAAGAGTTTAATAGTTGAGCACATAAGAGCCCTCTTCTTAGATATTACCTGAATTTAGCCTTTAGTTAATTCATTTCCCCATTGGTCACTTCCCTTTGGGGTTGCAAATGATAATTAACGGTTATTGCCTCTCAATGTGATCCTTATCACCCCTCCGTTTGACCCTGGAAGCCTGGCTTTGCATTACCAAGGGATTACTGCTTATAAGTGTATATATACCAGGACTTCCAGGGCACATGGAGGACAGAGAAGAGAAAAGAGAATGGAAGAACTAGATGGGTAAGAGCTTGAGAGGAACAAACTGAGATGGGGAAGAACTAGATTGAAGGGCTAGAAGAGAGGACTAGAGGAACGAGATGGGAGAGAGGAAGAACCAGATGGGGAAGAACAAGATGAGGAAGAACAAGATGAGAGAGAAGGAGATGGGAGAGGAGCTGATATGGGAAAGAACTAGATGGATGAGAACCTAGAAGGGGCAGAACTAGATGAAGGAATTAAGATAGAACCTAGAGGGGACAGTAGATAAATATGGAGAGAAATCAGGCAAGAAAGGAGCTAGACATGAGAGCAGAATACAAGCTGTGCAGAGAGAGAACTATCACAGAATAATAAAGTGTATGAACTAAGGAGTTTCATGTACATAGATTCACTTCTTTTCATCAAAGATTAATTATCAGCTGGTTGTAGATTCTTCCCGGACCCTGGGAGGGGACTATCGAGGGGCTGGACCCCCCTAGTTCCCGATATGTATGCACGCGCGCGTGCGCACACACACACACACACACACACACACACACACACATACACACACATGCAAAAACACGCGACAAACCCATGCTGGGGACAAAGACAGGCAGATCTCTGGAGCTCATCGTCTGTGTCTTATCCCTTCCCTGTGAGCACCTGTCCATTAACACCAGAGCTTAAATCTATTAAAACTCTCAATAAATGCTGACTCTGATTCATATTGCCTCCTAAAACTCTTTCCTGTGGCAAAGTCAAGGATCCCAGCCTCACCTGAGGGGAGGTCACGGAACCAGCCCTTGTATGGACTGGACTCAATGTAGAATCACCTGGCCATGGAGTCTCCATGAGGAACTGTCTAGAATAGGTAGACCTGTGGGCATGCCTATGAGGGATGTTCTTACTTGGGTTAATTGCGATGGGAAGACCCATCCTGAATGCAGGCAGCCTCATTTCACAGGCTGAGCCCTGAGCCCCAGCAGGAGTGCATTAACTCATTGTTCTCCTGACTGTGGATGTAATATGTCCAGCTGCTTCAAGCTCTGCCGCATGGACATCCCTGCATCCCCATGGTCTGTACGTCGGAATGTGAGCTAAAATAAAGCCTTTCCCCCTTAGTTGATTTTGTCAGGGTGTTCATCACAGGCCCGGGAAACCAAGATGAGAAGGGTTGTTGTCAGGGGTAAGACATGGGCAGAAGATGCCAGGGACAAGTGGGCACTCAGCAGACATAATGGTGGCCGTGTGGACCCTGTGGTCCACCTAACAGTAGCTCAGGTCTGCTATGGGTCCCTCTTTTTCAAGGACACTGAGTCTAACTAAATCCATGGTGTCCTGGGTAGTTTTTATTGTCAATTTGTACAAGCTGGAAACACCCGGGGAAGAGGGCACCCCAACGGAAGAATGGCCTCCATCAGACTGGCCAGGTCCGTAAGTCTTACAGTGTAAGACAGTGTCTTGAAAACCAATGTGGGGGGGGGGGGCCCAGCCCACCGAAGGTGTCACCATCCCTAGGCAGGTGGGCCTGGGCTGTATAAGAAACTTAGCTGGGCCTAAGCCAGCGAGTAAGCTGTCCTCCATGGTTTCTGCTCCAGGCTCCTGTCTTGAATTTCTGCCCTGTCTTCCTCAGTGACTGTGTCCTGGAAGCGCAAGTTGAAACAAACTCTTTCCTCCTCTAAGTTTCTTTTGCTCATGGGGCTATCTCACCAACAGAGGTCAAACTAGGACACCTGGTAGGGATTCTTGGACAGAGAAAACCCCAGAGTCTGCCATAGACCTCTCTTACGACAGGGTAGTGTTAAGACATCTGCTTGGCACTGACTCTTAATTAGCCTGTACCCTGGACTGACATGAAGACACACAAGCACTCCACCTTTGTCCCTCTTATGGGAGCCACTGAATTATCATGCTCAAATGTTTACTTAGAATACGGGAACCATGGGTAACTTGGACGGAGTGTATAATGCATGCCATGCATTAGTTAGTTAGTTAGTTAGTTAGTTAGTTAGTTAGTTAGTTAGTTAGTTAGTTAGTTAGTTAGTTAGTTGGTTTTTCGAGACAGGGTTTCTCTGTGTAGTTTTGGAGCCTGTCTTGGAACTCACTCTGTAGCCCAGGCTGGCCTCGAACTCACAGAGATCTGCCTGCCTCTGCCTCCTGAGTGCTGGGATCAAAGGCGTGCGCCACCACTGCCCAGCAGGCACTATTCTTGACGTGTGTGAATTTGCACCCACTGCTAGAAGTGGGGGTCACTCCCGTCTCCACTGTCAAATGAAGATGTGGGGGTCAGAGGGAACTGGACCTGGACTGTCTCCCTGCAAAGGTCCATGGATTTATGGCTTGGTGCCCAGCCTGGTGCTATTGGGAGGTACAAGAATTAAGCGGTGAGGCCGGAGGACTGGAGAGATGGCCTCTCAGTTAAGGGCGGTTGCTGTTCCTCTAGAGGACACAGGCTCAGTTCCCAACACCCACAACCATCTGTAACTCCAGTTGAAGGTGATCTGACACCCTCTTCTGACCTCTGAGGGCATCAGGCCTCCGTGTGGTGAACACCCACGCACATAAAAGATTAATTAAAAAAAAAAGAGGTGAGATAATTTGGGAGGCAGAGGCAGCCAGATCTCTACGAGTTCAAGGCCAAGCTGGTCTAGTGAGCTCTAGGACAACAGCTAGAGTTACATAGAGAGACCCCTGTCTCAAAAAAAAAAAAAAAAAGTGAAGCCTGGCTGGCACTGAAGTCTTCTGCTCATTAGGCACGTGCCCTCAAAGTGGATGGTGGGACTCTGGCTTCCTTTACTCCCTCTCTGACCCCAACTTCCACCCATCTTGATAGGGTCTCTTGTAGCCCAGGCTGATCTCAAGTTTGCTAAATAGCTAAAGACGACCTTGAACTTCTGATCTTCCGGCCTCTACCTCCTGAGCGCTGGGATCACAGGCACATACCACCATGCTCTACTTATGCCCTGCTGAGATCAGACCGGGGGCTTTACCCACACTAGGTCGGCGCATTACCTCCTTGGCTCCCTCTCTCACTCCCCGGCAGCACCGTGAGCATTTTGGTTCCAGCCTGTATTTCCCACCATAGTACACTCCATTGCCACAGGCCCGAAGGCAACAGGACCAACGGTGAACCAAAACCTCCCAAATGGAGCCAGAATAAACTGTCCCTCCGTCTAGAAGCCGATGCCTCGGGGCTCTGGGTCACAAAGCTGTCAGAGGGGGTCAAACAAGGCATCCGAGTTCACAGCCCCGATGAGTGGTAGTGCTAGAATTCGAACCCAGGCCCCCAGGGTCCTAACTTGCCACACTCTGAATATAGTCTATGTGATACCCACCTTGTGATTTCCTGCCAGGGCATGTGGGCAGACCTGGGGCATGTTGTGAGCATGCCCAGGCTCTGTAGGGAACCCCGCCTACCACGTGGGCAGAGACTAGGGTGTTTTCACCCTTCCACTAACACCGGGACCCAAATGGCACAGTGTTTGCTGCTGTTGTGCCTTATGAGCTAGCCAGATCAATGCAGGGAAAGCAAATTACCTGTAATTAGAGACGATTAGTGAAATGCTAAGATTATGCCCATATAAAATAATGCCTCGCGAAGGCCCGTGGCCAAGGCAGAACCTGCCACGTCTGGGATGGCTTGCTCAGGGACTGCTCTAGCCTGCTGGCCCTGGCCCAGGACCTCCCCTCAGGGTTAGCTCCCCAAGGGGCCTTACCTACAGTGGCAGTCAGCCCAGTGGCAAAGGCATCGTGATGTAACAGGTGTAGGAATGAGGTCTTGCCCACATTGGAGTCCCCCAGGAAGATGACGTGGTAGAGGTAGTCGGGGTCAGCCTGAGGCTTGCCAGCAGTGAGTTCTGCTTCCCCTGAGTTTGTTCCTGGGTCCTCCGGCCTGCTCTCTGCCCCTGGCTCCGCGGGCTGAGGGGTGCCTGGCTTGCTCTCCACCTGAACAGGCATGGACATGGACCTGGGCTGGGCTTCCAGTTCAGTCAAGGCGAGGGGGGCTTGTGTGGTCTCTGGGGCTCCCACTGCAAGCCCAGCCCGGGGCCCCATGATGGGAGAGCCTCTTGGAGGAGACTCTTTGCCAGGAGCGGGGACTTCTGTCTCTGCAAGGGCCTGTGATGTGTCAGACTCCTGCAGATCATCTCGCTGGGGTGATTCTGGGTTCCTGGCTTCGAGGCTGTGAGCCTCATCGGCCTGTTCTGACCCCAGGTCCTCCCGGCCTCTCCCTCCTGAGTTTCCTTCCTCTGGCCTGGGCAGCAGCTCTTCCAGACTCTGGCGGAGGTGGGTAGCCAGGCTATCCAGCTTAAGGACCTGGCCATGGGCTTCTTGCAAACCCCTAGGATGAA